AAATTGAAAAAGTGTTGATGAAAACGAAAAATTTGTAAAAATGTTTTATTAATAAGAAAATATTATTTTATAGGAAATGCACAAAATTGTATTTATAGATACAATAAGTTTATCTCGTTTACCCAGAAAGGTTTTTCGACGATTATTAGTTCATCCGGCTCACCGCCGCCTCCCTCTCCGCTGTCTTGCTCGCCTCGTCCCTCTCCCTTGCTTTTAGGCACGCTCTGGACATGTATGGTCTTTGTGACTCCCTGGATTGTCTCGAATTTGGTTGGATTCTACTTAGATTAGGATTCAATTACCTCAGCTTAAAGATTCAATTACCTGAGGTTTGTTGGCTATCTTTGAACATTCATTTATCTTTTTATGAGATGGTTAGGTTTTTTTCTTAGCCTTTTTTTTTAATCTCAGGATGAGGTCTCTTTACCTCAGTAGTATGGGGCTGTTACTCGAAATCTCTTATCTTGTTGTGCTGGTTTTCTTATCTGATGAATCACGCTTAAACTTCAAAAAGATAAGAGATGGATTCACCAAAACCAATCTTGGATCTTTAATATCATATTCTGTTGTTAGGCAGTGGAGACTACTGCTTTTACAGACCTCTTCGTCGTTGATGATTGCTCATCATGACACTGCTTAGTCATCTCTGTAGCCAAACTTCTTGTTGTTTCTGATGCGCTAGTTACTACAACTTCTCCGGGCAGTAGATCACCAACGGTTGTTTCTAATGCGCTAGTTGCTAGAACTTCTTCGGGTAGTAGATAACTAACGGTTGTTTGGGCCAATTTTGATATTGTCTTCTCTTTTATGGATTTTGTTTTCCTCCCAAATTATTCACTTGTGATTAGTGATAAAATGAGCATTGTGTCGAAAGCAAATCTGCTTGGAGCATAAACAAAGACTTTAATCGTGTCTCGTTTAACAATAGATGGTGTTGTCTATTTCGCCTCAACGACCATGGAGGTGTTGATCCCTTTTCTTAGAGGTTTCGATTAAGAACTTGTATGTCTTCTTTAAATTATTACTTTGCTTAAAATTATGAGTTCACTTTTATCCTCAAAACTCTATTTGAATATTTGGTGTTTTAACTTTACCATTTGCTTGATTAATGTGTTAATCGAGACTTTAGCTTGTTTAGCTATTTATGGCTTTGTTGCTAGTTAATCTCTATAATTTTTTTTTTCCGTCTATAAATCTTTATTACTTCAACTGTGAATATCGTCACTTACAAAAGATCTTAAAAACCATGGACAACAATGAAATAAAGACCAAAAGGTTTCACATGTTAATGCTTTCCTAGCTAACATATCAGAAACATTGTTTGATTCTCGATAAGTATGTAAGAATTTTATGGAGAGAAAGCTTGACTTCCATGACTTGATATCGTTCAACTGATGTTGCAGTCGGATATTCAAATTCTGTTGATTGATGAGTCTCGTGATAGTGAAATTGTCACCTTCAAATTCAACCCTTCTATAACCCAAAGCCCATGTAGCATGTATTGCCCATAGAAGTGCCGAGATTTCAGCATTGTGTATCGTCCTTGAAATCTTCCCATTCCACAGTAATTTCTATAATTTCACAGTTAATCTCTATAATTTCTAATAGAATAATAATAATTAAAAAAAAACACTTTTATTTCAATAAAATTTCGGTTTTATAAAAAAATGCAATCAAGACCTTAAATATCTTTCACTCGTCCTAGAGAAGTAAATGAGCCCATAAGATATGTAAATGGGCCTTGAATAAAACTAAGCCCAAATTTATTAGCCTAAATAAGAGACGAAAACTGAACTGTTTTAGCTGACTTCTTCTTCTTAAGACACAACCTGCGAATGAGAGGAACATATAATCTCTGAGATTCACTTGTAGTTACACTATTAGATGAACCAGACGCAATGTACTTTCAAATCTTTTCGAAACCTTCTTCTGAAATGCGTAGCGGAGAGAGATCTCTTCACTGGAAAATCACTTCATGCTCTCTACGTGAAATCCCTTGTAGCTTCTTCCACTTACCTCTCAAATCACTTCGTGAATCTCTACTCCAAGTGTGGTCTTCTTTCCTACGCACGAGCCGCATTCGACTGCACCGAACAACCCAATGTCTTCTCTTACAACGTTATCGTCAAGGCTTACGCGAAAGACTCGAAAATCCATATTGCACGACAGTTGTTCGACGAAATTCCGCAACCAGACACCGTTTCTTTCAATACACTCATCTCCGGATACGCTGATGCTAGGGAAACTGTTCCCGCGATGAATCTGTTTAAGAGAATGAGAGAATTGGGATTTGAGGTTGATGGGTTTACGTTATCAGGCTTGATAGCAGCTTGTTGTGACCGTGTGGGTTCGATAATGCAGCTTCATTGTTTCGCTGTCTCGGGAGGGTTTGATGCTTACTCGTCTGTGAATAACGCATTCGTCACGTATTACAGTAAAAGCGGGCTTTTGAAAGAGGCCGTATCGGTGTTCTACGGGATGGATGAGTTAAGAGATGAAGTTTCTTGGAATTCGATGATTGTGGCTTACGGGCAGCACAAGGAAGGAGCAAAGGCCTTAGCTTTGTATAAAGTAATGATCTTGAAAGGTTTCAAGATCGATATGTACACATTGGCTAGTGTTTTAAACGCGCTCACGAGCTTGGGTGATTTGATCGGCGGCCGTGAGTTCCACGGTAAGCTGATCAAGGCTGGATTTCACCAGAATTCACACGTGGGAAGTGGTTTGATTGATTTCTACTCAAAATGTGGAGGTTGTAACGGTATGTCTGAATGCGAGAAGTTGTTTCAAGAGATTCTATCGCCGGATTTGGTTCTTTGGAATACAATGATTTCTGGGTATTCGATGAATGAGGAACTCTCTGAAGAAGCTGTGAAGATTTTTAGACAGATGCAACGTATTGGGCACAGCCCTGATGATTGCAGTTTTGTCTGTGTCACAAGCGCTTGCTCGAATCTCGCATCTCCTTCTCAGGGCAAGCAGATTCATGGTTTGGCGATCAAATCTCACATCCCTTCGAATAGAATCTCTGTGAACAATGCGTTGATTTCGATGTATAATAATAACGGAAATCTGAAAGACGCTAGGCGGGTATTTGATCGAATGCCGGAACTTAATGCTGTATCTTTCAATTGTATGATTAAAGGTTATGCGCAGCACGGGCGTGGAACAGAGGCTTTGCTTTTATATCAGCGGATGCTAGACTCAGGAATTGCACCTAACAATATAACCTTTGTAGCGGTTCTTTCTGCGTGTGTACACTGTGGTAAAGTCGCCGAGGGTCAGAGGTACTTCAACGCCATGAAGGAGACGTTCAAGATTGAACCAGAGGCTGAGCACTATTCTTGTATGATTGATCTTTTGGGACGAGCAGGGAAGCTAGAAGAGGCAGAGAGATTTATAGATGCAATGCCGTATAAGCCCGGTCCTGTTGCTTGGGCTGCATTGCTCAGTGCTTGTAAAAAACACAAAAGCATGGCTCTTGCAGAGAGAGCAGCTAAGGAGCTTATGGTGATGCAACCATTAGCTGCCACACCGTATGTGATGCTAGCAAATATGTATGCAGTTGCAGGCAAATGGGAAGAGATGGCTTTGGTGAGGCAATCAATGAGGGAAAAAAGGATAAGGAAGAAACCGGGATGTAGTTGGATCGAAGTGAAGAAGAAGAGGCATGTATTTGTGGCGGAAGATTGGTCTCACCCGATGATACGGGAAGTGAATGAGTATCTAGAGGAGATGATGGAGAAGATGAAGAGAGTTGGGTATGTGATGGATAAGAAATGGGCAATGGTTAAGGAGGACGAAGCGGGTGAAGGAGAAGAAGAGATGCGGTTAGGACATCATAGCGAGAAGCTAGCGGTGGCTTTCGGGTTAATGTCGACAAGAGATGGTGAGGAATTAGTTGTGAAAAAGAATTTGAGGATATGTGGGGATTGTCACAATGCGATCAAATTTATGTCCGCGGTTGCAGGTAGAGAGATTACTGTAAGGGATAACCTTAGGTTCCATTGTTTCAAAGATGGGAAATGTTCATGCGGAGATTATTGGTGATAATGATGATTTAATTGAATAGGGAAAATTGTGTTGCCGGATACAAACATGAAAGGAGAAACACTGACCTGTTACAAAATACAAGGAGAATATCGATTACGCTA